CAGCATGGGACTTATACCAGAGCTTCTAGTTCAGAGGTAGGGACTGTACTACTGCACCACAAGAGGCCTTCCTCCTGTGTTGTATATTTGGGACATCTTTTATAAAACTCAATTTAGGCTTTTTTAAACTTTATACATGAAAATTTTCTGGTTTAAGTGACTTGTTTTTTGAACATTGCACCATGTTACAAGTAACATTTTCAATGAAATCTTTTAGGACTGCATGTTCCAAGTATGTGTGTACATTTATATCTTACTAACTGCAATAGAGGCTATTACTCCATAGATCAAAAGGTTAAGGAGATTCTGTGGGCACCAAACAAATGCCAATACTTTTATCATTTCATGTACACAGCAGAGGCCTGTTTGAAAGTTCCTGTGTTGAGGTTATTCTACTAAAGTGAAATTGTTATGTAAATCCTGAACAATTATTCACCAATTCCCAAGCTGGACTGATGAATTATGCAAATCTTGTATCACACAAGGTGTTCCTCTTAGATAATGAGGGGTGAAAACTTAAAGATTTGCATTGCATAAAAGAAGCTTTTCATCAACACATTATAAGTTTTAGTGTACATGTATATATGCATGACATGCATGCATGTTCACTATTAAGTTGTAGTCCACCTTAACAAAGTACAGGATGGTAAAACTTTGGCCCTGATCAGATACTATATTGGTCTCAAGAGGCCATGTATGTAAAAGAGAACTGATTCACTCCTTTTTCAAACAAGGCCTTTTTAGGCCAAGATGTGACTATCTAGGTGGAGATCTGAATTTCCCTGATAACTTCTTGAGTGGTCTTATTGGTCAGGGAATGATGTTTGCTGGATTTTTCATGGTCTAAACTACAGCAGTTTTGTTTTGTGCACTAACGTTGAGTCGCTACAGATAGACACAGTGATGGGAATCCATCACTAATCATTGCTGAGCACACTTCCCTTTGGCTGAAACTGATCAAGCTACCATTCCAGACTAATAATCATCTTACAATACCTGCATTGCAGAATTCATTAAATCTTCCTGCAATAAGTATGAAGTAATGCTAACTTGTGTGGCATTTTATGAAGAAATTGTTCATGAGACAAATGCCATCCAATCAATACAATATAAATTAGAGCTAATGTTAAGCAATAAGTAAAATTCAAAGGCGGGGTAGGAATTGAATGCAAAGACTAACTCTGCCATGCAGGCACTGTAGCTATTGGGACAAAAGTTGGAAAGACTCCAAGACTGTTGGGTAAACAAGCACATGATGTTTTTGGGTTGTAGTAGAATGTCGTGTTCTCTGTTGAATTTGCACTTTTCCTCCAAATAATTTGCTCCAGGGGCAAGGAAGCAGGCTGCACAATAATGGCAAGCAAGTTGAGAGAAACTTCACCTGTTCCCATGGTGATAGTATCTCGATTGATCTACTTGTTTGGAACAAACAATGAACCCCCTCCCACCCCCTGGTGGCATTATGAGTACAGCCGCCAAGAAAATGTCAGGAAGGGTCAGCTCCCATCAAGCAAGGGAACAATTTCAACTTTACTCCCTTCCCTCCACTTGAAGTAAATTGGGAAGATTGGCAGTTAACATTGGCTGGGTAATTTGTCCTTTGGTGTCCTATTCCAAAGATGCCGTCTTCCATTTTAATCTGTTATTCCAATCAGGAAGAGGGTGTAAAATTGTTGCAAAATCGAACAAGCAGCAAGTCTAATCCATATTAAAGATCTGATGGCAGCCATCAATGTCCTCCTGCCAAAGCACTTCATAAAGTCACCAGAATACCTTTCCAATCAAACCCAAGGTGACACATTTGGATTCGACCACAGGTAGAAACATGGCTGGCACCAGTTCAGTGCCTTCTGAGTGGCACCAATAAGACAGTGATGTTCAATGTCACCACCTCTTGGGTATTGACCAAATGAATCTCTCTCTGGTTCTTCACCTACTGAAGAGGCAGCTATAGACAGCATTAATGACTTCTGCAATGAATAATTGATGCCCTTATCATTCAGGTATTGGTTGCTGCACAGCAATATCAACATCTACGTGCACTAGTGTCATGTGGAATTTTTAATATTGAGAAGGCTGAAGTGACGTAATTTGACAGAAATGGGAGGGAGAAGCAATATAGATCGAATGGCATTGTGCAAAAGAGTGTGCAGGGACAGAGGGACCTTGGGATGCGTGCATCAGGACATAAACACAATGAGTGTGTTTAGCAAAGCATATGTGATCTTGGGTTTCATAATTGAGCCAGTGAGTACAAAAGCAGGGAAGTTATGCTGAATCTTTATATAGTTATGGTTAGGCTTCAGCTAGAGCATTGCATCCAGTTCTGGTCAGCACCCTTTAGGAAAGATGCAAAGGTTCTTGAGATTGTGCAGAGGAGATTTACCAAAATAATTCTAGGGATGGGTGCGGGGCGGGGTTATTTTAGTTACAAATTCAGATTGGAAAGATGGCAGTTGTTCTCCTTGAGTAAAGGGGATTGAGGGAACATTTGGACGAGGTGCACCAAGACCATGTCAGGCTTAGACAACAAAACTGTCCCCGTGAGCTGATGGTACAAGCACCAGGGGACACATTTACAATTTGGGGGTAAGAGATGCAGGAGATTGTGAGGAAGAACCTTCTGACTCAATAAATGATAATGACCCAGAACTCACCGGCCATGAGGGTGGTGGAAGTGGAGAAAATCAATCATTTCAAAAGGAATTTGGATGGACATTGGAAGGAAATAAAGTTATTTGGCTATCAGGATTGAGCTGGCATGTGGGACTGACTGTGTTGCTTCGCAGGGACAGTATGGACTTGATGGACTGAATGACCTCTTCCTGCACCATAAATGACTCTATGACACTATTCAAGTACCATCTAATTTGTTCTATGATGCTGTCAGTTAAATCTTCCTAGAAAAGTAAAGTTGTATTGACAGCACATGTTATTAATGCACAAATCAGTCAGCACATGATGGGGGGGGGGGGGGGGGTGGGGGGGGTGGGGGAAGGGGGAGTGAAGGTATATGCAATGAGTTGTGGATCCCTGGAACATGCTGGTCAGTTTACTCCATTCTGCTGTTGGCTTCACACAAGCCAACACCCTTAGCTTCCCTGTTATTTTTAAGAACTTACAGTAGGTACTCTTTTAACAATGTGGTAATTATTTATGAGTACAAATCAATCCCTCTGGTCCAGGTAGGGAAAAGAATTAAACTGGTGAGGCCCATTCCTTAAACCAGTCATTTGTTGTTAGTGATTTGAAAAGTTGGAAACTTCATATTTGTTCATACATTCTTTTATTTTCTCTTTTAACCTAAGTTCCCTCTCCTTATGTCTCTTTAATTTGCTGATTAACTCTAATTCACGTTCCTTTTCTGTCATTCCTCTGTTTCATTCTCAATCCTTAAACCCCATTATTTAACATCTCAAACTGTTTCCAGCTCCACACTACCAACAAGTTACAATATAAAATCTTAACCTGCTGAAGAATGCTGGAAACATCTTGACTCATGGCAAGCCAGATGACATGCCCTGTTCTAGGAAGATTTGGCCTATTGCACTCTGATGTGCTGTATCGAACTGTGTGCTTTTTTGGACTAAACTAAGCTGCACTGCATTGCCTTGCATTGCGTTTTGCTATCTTCTGTTGGACTGTTCAATGCAATAGTGGATTGTGCTGTGCTGTTTTGGTCAGTGCCCTGTTGTGTTGGGCTCTCTTGTGTTGGGCTGTTCTATGCTATGCAGTATTGAAACATCCTGTGGTGTGTTACCTTGTGCTGTGGTGTGTTTTACTGTGCTGTGTTTGACTGTGATGTGCTGTGCTGTGCTGTGTTAGACTGTGCTGTGCTGTGTTAGACTG